CAGCCCGCCCCACCTTGCCGGGGGGCAGCAGCACCCTGCAGGCGATGTCCCACGTGTGGGAGAACATGACGGGCGCGTAGTGGGACACGAAGGGTTTGTGGCGGCCGCCCTCCTGCGGGGTCAGCACGTACACCTGCGCGGGGAGGAAGGGGTTAACGGCGGCCGGACCCACGGAGTGACCATGGAGTGACCACGGAGTGACCACGGAGTGACCCACCCGCCCTCCTGCGGGGTCAGCACGTACACCTGAGCAGTGGGGAGGAAGGGGTTAACGGCGGCCGGACCCATGGAGTGACCAATGGAGTGACCACGGAGTGACCACAGAGTGACCACGGAGTGACCCATGGAGTGACCACAGAGTGACCCACGGACTGACCCATGGACTGACCCATAGACTGACCCACAGAGTGACCACAGAGTGACCACAGACTGACCCACCCGCCCTCCTGCGGGGTCAGCACGTACACCTGCACCGCGGGGAGGAAGGGGTTAACGGCGGCCGGACCCATCAATTGACCCACGGAGTGACCCATGGACTGACCAATGGAGTGACCACAGAGTGACCCATGGACTGACCCACCCGCCCTCCTGCGGGGTCAGCACGTACACCTGAGCGGGGAGGAAGGGGTTAACGGCGGCCAGACCCATCGACTGACCAATGGAGTGACCACGGAGTGACCAGAGAGTGACCACAGAGTGACCACAGAGTGACCACGGACTGACCCATGGAGTGACCATGGAGTGACCACGGAGTGACCACGGAGTGACCATGGAGTGACCCATGGACTGACCCATGGACTGACCCATGGACTGACCCACAGACTGACCCATGGACTGACCCACGGACTGACCCACGGACTGACCCACGGACTGACCCATGGACTGACCCACGGACTGACCCATGGACTGACCCACAGACTGACCCACGGACTGACCCACGGACTGACCCACGGACTGACCCACGGACTGACCCACGGACTGACCCATGGACTGACCCATGGACTGACCCATAGACTGACCCACAGACTGACCCACCCGCCCTCCTGCGGGGTCAGCACGTACACCTGCACCACGGGGAGGAAGGGGTTAACGGCGGCCAGACCCACGGAGTGACCACAGAGTGACCACAGACTGACCCATAGACTGACCACAGAGTGACCATGGAGTGACCACGGAGTGACCCATAGACTGACCCATAGACTGACCCATAGACTGACCCATGGACTGACCCATAGACTGACCCATAGACTGACCCATAGACTGACCATGGACTGACCCATAGACTGACCATAGACTGACCATAGACTGACCATAGACTGACCCATAGACTGACCATGGACTGACCCATAGACTGACCATAGACTGACCATAGACTGACCCATAGACTGACCATGGACTGACCCATAGACTGACCACGGACTGACCATAGACTGACCATGGACTGACCCATAGACTGACCCATAGACTGACCCATGGACTGACCCATAGACTGACCCATGGACTGACCCATAGACTGACCCATAGACTGACCCATAGACTGACCCATAGAGTGACCACGGAGTGACCCACGGAGTGACCCACGGAGCCCCAAATCCTGACCCAAATCCT